AAAGGATTTAAAAAAACAAATTAGAGAAGTAGAAAAAAATTGGGGAAAGAAATAAGAGTAATACAAGAGAATCGTGGAAAAAAGAGTCAGTAACATGAGAAAGGCAATATAAAAATTTACTGAGGAAAATAACTCCCCCAAAAAATAAAATTGGCCAAATGGGAAAAGGAAGTACAAAAGTTCATTAGAGAAAATAATTCTTTAAAAATTACAATTGAACGAGTGGAAACTAATGCAACACCAGGATATCTGATGGAAACTCATGTGACATCTATGTGACATCAGGATATCATAAAACAAAAATTTTAAAAAGTAAAAAAAAAGTATGAAATTTATCATTGGAAAGACAACTAACCTAGAAAATAGATCCAGGAGAAATAATGTAAGAATTATTGGACTACTTGAAAGCCATGGTTAGAAGGGAAAAAAAAGCCTAGACAACATCTTTCAAGAAATTATCATAGAAAAGTGCCCTGACGTATTAGAACCAGAAGGCAAAATAGAAATTCAAAGAATCCACCAGTCACTGCCTGAAAGCGATCCCAAAGTGAAAGCACCCTTGAACATCATAGCCAAATTCCAGAGCTCACAGGTCAAGGAGAAAGTATTATAAGCAGCCAAAAAGAAACAATTCAAACATCATGGGGCTATAATCAGGATTATACAAGATCTGACAGCTTCCACATTAAAGAACCAGAGGACTTGGAATATGCTTTATACCGGAAGGTAAAGGAGTTAGGATTACAACCAAGATTCACCTCCCAGCAAAACTGAATATAATATTTTAGGGAAAGAAATAGACATTTACTGAAATAGGAGATTTTCAAACACTTCTAATTGAAAGACCATAGTGAAAAAATTTGACCTCTAAATATAAGACTCAATCAAGGGAAACAAACAGGTAGAAAAGAAACAAGAAAGAGAAAATGTAAGAAATTTAATAAGGCTAAACTGTTTATGTTTCTATATGGCCAAAAAATATTTGTAACTCTTAACTTTATTACTTATAAGAGCAATTAGAAGGAGTATACAGAGACAGATGGTGTGGCTATAAGGTGATTTTGGTATGATGATACCCCAAAAAAAAACAGAAGAAAGGGGTGAGAAAGAAAATTGCACTGGAAGAAGGAGAGGGGAGATTGAATGGGGATAAATCATCCTACATAAAAGAAGCATGAAAGAGCTAATTATAATGGAGGGGGAAATGGGGGAGTGGCAGGCAAAGTTTAAATCTTACTCTCATCAAAATTGATTCAAAGAGGGAATAACATACACACTCAGCTGGTTATACAAATCTGTCTTACCTTATAAGGAAGTAAAAAGGGAGAGAGATCATAGAAGGGGGAGGGAGGACTAATAAAAGGGAGGGTATATTGGGGAAGGCAGTGATTAGAAGTGAAACTCTTATGAGGAGGGAAAGGGTAGGGAGTAAGAGAGAGGAGAATAAACAGGCAAAAAATAGCATGGAGGGAAATACACAATTAGTTATAACTATAAACGTGAATGGAATGAGCTCTCTCATAAAATAGAGGCGGATAGTAGAATGGATTAAAAACCAGAATCCTACAATATGTTGTTTACAAGAAACACGTTTGAAGCAGAGAGATACACACAGGGTAAAGTAAGGGACTGGAGCAGGATCTATTATGTTTCAGCTGAAGCAAAGAAAGCAGGGGTAGCAACCATGATCTCAGACAAAGCAAAAGCAAAAATAGATCTAATTAAAAGAGATAAAGAAGGAAATAATATCTTACTGAAAGGTACCATAGACAATGAAGTCATATCAATACTAAACATATATGCATCAAATGGCATAGCATTGAAATTTTTGAAGGATAAGTTGAATGAGTTATGGGAGGAAATAAGTAATAAAACTATACTAGTGGAGGACCTCAATTTTCCCCTCTCAGAACTAGATAAATATAACCAAAAAATAAGCAAGAAAGAAGTTATAGAGGTGGATAAAATTCTAGAAAACTTAGATATGATAGATCTCTGGAGAAAACTGAATGGGAATAGAAAGGAACATATGTTTTTCTCAGCAGTGCATGGCACTTACTCAAAAATTGACCATGTATTAGAATATAAAAACCTTGCAACCAAATTCAGAAAAGCAAAAAAAGTAAACACATGCTTTTCAAATCATAATGCAATAAAAATTATATAAAAAAACAATGGAGAGTTAAAAATTAATTGTAAATTTAAAAAATCTAATCCTAAAAAACAAGTAGGTAAAGGACAAACCATAGAAACAGTTGATAATTTCATTAAAAAATGACAACAGTGAGACAACATACCAAAATTTATGGGATGCAGTCAAAGTGGTACTTAGGGGAAAATTTATGTCTCTAATTGCTTACATCAATAAAATAGAGAAAAAGCAGATTAATGAATTGGGCATGAAACTAAAAAAAAAAAAAGCTAGAAAAAAAACAAATAAAAAATCCCTAATTGAACACCAAATTGGAAATCTTGAAAATCAAAGGAGTGATTAACAAAGTTGAAAGTAAGAAAACCATTAAACTAATAGTAATAGAAGCTAGTTTTATGAAAAAAAAAATAGATAAACCATGTGGTTGATTTGATTAAAAAAAGGAAAGAAGAAAACCAAATTACTAGTATCAAAAATTAAAGGGGTGAATTCACCACCAATGAAGAGGAAATTAAGACAGTTGTTAGAAGCTATTTTGCTCAATTATATGTCAACAAATTTGACAATCTAAATGAAATTAATTAATATCTATAGAAATATAAATTACCCAGGTTAACAGAAGCAATAAAATATTTGAATACAACCCAATCTTAGAAAAAGAAATTGAAAAAGCTCTCAATTAACTTCCTAAGAAAAAATCCCCAGGATCAGATGGATTCATAAGCAAATTCTACCAAACATTTAAAGAGCAATTAATCCCAATACTATGTAAACTATTTGTAAAAGCAGGCTAAGAAGGAGTCCTACCAAATTCCTCTTATGATACAACTATGGTGTGGATACTCAAACCAGAGAAAAAAAAATTGTAAACCAATTTCCCTAATATTCATGCAAACATTTTAAATAAAATAACTAGCAAAGAGTTAAAAATAACTAGCAGTGTATCACAAGGATCATACACTGTGACCAGATGGGATTTATACCAGGAATGCAGTACTGGTTTAATATTAGGAAAAGTATCAGCATAATTGACTGTTTCAGTAACAAAACTAACCAAAATCATATGATTATATCAATAGATGCAGAAAAAGCCTTTGCAAAAATACAGCAGCCATTTTTCTTAAAAATACTAGAAAGCATAAGAGTAAATGGAGTTTACCTTAGCATGATAAGTAATATTTATCTAAAACCATGAGCAAACATTATCTGTAATTGGAATAAGCTAGGAAGCAAGGATGTCCATTATCACCTCTATTATATAATATCATATTGGAAATATTAGCTATAGTTAGAAGAGAAGAAAAAGAAATGAAAGGAATTAGAATAGGCAATGAGGAAATCAAACAATCACTCTTTGTTGATAATGCAATGTTACACTTAGAAAATCCTAGAAAATCAATGTGTACAAACACTTGAAATGTTCCTAGTCACCAGTACTGTCCCAGGCTTTCTCCTTCTCTGTGTGTGTGTGTGTGTGTGTGTGTGTGTGGCGGGGTGGGGGGTACACAATAAGAGACAAGGACCTCTAATGTTATCATTGGCTTACTTACATACAGTGCTGTCGGGTAGGGAACTCTGCTGCAAAGTGTTACATAATGCTTTCCAAAGATAAATCATTTGGATAGGGAACACACCCCTACTTCACTCCCATAGTACAGGTAAATAATAGGTGACTGGATAGTATCTTCTTGTCAGTCTGAAGCATAAAGCTTTGGGAAAATAGACATAAATAAACCTGCGGAACAAAATGATATTTTTATTAGAGGGCGTCTTTAATTCTAGAAATTGAGCAGGTCCTTTGAGTTTCACATGACTTTAAATAAGCTGATATTAGAAAAATGGATATTGGACATTAATAATAATGATAATAATAATAGTAGTAACTGGCATTAATATAGTGCTTTAAGGTTTGAAAATGCTTTAGGTACATTATCTCATCTTACAACACTGTGAAAAAAAATTCTACAGATATTATTACATTTTTACAGATGTATATACTGAGGCTGGAAGCTTAAATGACAGCTTCAACTTCAAATTCAGCTTCTCCTTAAATGACAGAATTGGTGTCTATGGTGGGATTTAAACTCAGATCTTCCTGCCTCTCAGTTCAGCACTCCATCCACTGTGTTATAATGTTCCAATGTTTATACTTGGGTCCCATCTGTGCAGCCTGGTATGGTAGAAAGAGATTTGGCTCATCTATCTTAGCTATATATGAGGCTTACTCTGAGCCTCAGTTTCTTCATCTATAAAACAGAGTGCTCTCTGACATTCTGAATTGCAGAGCTGGTGCTGACCCACATTGGAAGAAGGAATTCCTCACCAAAACCTCCGTACACGAATAAAATAAGAAGTCTTGTCCCTAAATCAATAAACCGTGTCTCAAAGGCTCAGTTTCCTTATCTGTAAAATGAGAATAATAATACTTGTACGATCTATATCCTCAGTTTTTTTGTCAGGAAAGTGCTGTATAAACCTTCAAGTGCTATATATCATGTTCAGTTATTATTTAATATTTGTGTACTGTCATTATTACTTTCTTTACATGGGGAATTGCTTTACTGTTGCATCTCCTTTTCCATATGGATGGCAGTTTCACCAGGGGATGATTTGAATTCAGGCTAAACAAGCCTGGCAGTTTAGTAGGAGTCTTAGGAGGATGTGATTTCAGCTGTGAAGGACTTCAGCTCATCAGTACCATCGTCCTTCCTTTCGGTATTGTTCATCTTTGATGTTTTTGCCCCAAATAATTTCTTTAGAGCAAAGAAAAAATAATACTGAAATACACATAAGAAATTAACCCTTTTTTATTTTAAAAAACCTTTATTTATTTTAAAAAAAGACACAGCTTTTGTGATTTCAGGAAACCGAGGAATAAAATATCTGTTCAACAAAGATGAACTACTGAAGGCCTCCTTGTCTCTGTCACACGCTCATTCAGTGCTCATCACCACTGGGTTCCCTACCCATTTCACTCATGACCCACCTGAAGAGACTGACGGTCCCCCAGGAGCCATCGCGATGGCTGCCATTTTGCAAGCTTTAGAAAAGGAGGTTGCCATTGTTGTTGATGAGAGAGCCATGAGCTTGCACAGAAAGATTATTGAAGACTCAGTCAATCAAGGTAAGTTGAACCAAATGAGAAGCATGTGGGCATGGATTAGATGCTTTTTCTCTAGGGTATTATGACCACTTTCAGCTCTCTCGGACAGTCTCAGGCCATGGAGAAGGCCTGAATTTAATTTTATTCAAAACCACAAGCATTATTAAGTGGCTACTAATTGCTAGACAAGAGGTATGTGTGCCTGTCTCCCAGCTCTCCCCTTTTTGTGGGTTGTTATTGTTTGGTCCTTTCGTCCTACCCGACTCTCCATGACGGTATGTACCATGGCATGCTAATGTTGTCCATGGGGTCCTGAAGAGTTGGACAAGACTGAAAGATATTGGAGTGGTTTGCCATTTCCTTCTCCAGTTCTCTTTACAGATGATGAAACTGAGGCAAACGAGGTGAAGTGACTTGCCCAGGGTCACATTGCTAATAAGTATCTGAGTCTACATTTGAACTCAGGTCTTGACTCCAAGCCCAGTGCTCTATCCACTAAGCCATCTAGCGGCCTCTTTTGTGGGTAGCAGCACTCATCTAGAGTCGGAGCAGGAATGTTTATCAGCTTATTAGGTAAATATGTTGTGATGTCAGCTTGAGGTCGCTACCCATCTCTGCATCGTGACCTCCTGATTCCCAGTGGTGTTTAGGGGAGGAGCCTACTTCTTTAGACCTTCTCACCCCAACAGATTACACCCTCAGAGAAGTGTTTATGCTTTTACTCTTATAATAAGAGGGCCTGAGTCCCAGAAAGTCATTGGTTTAAAATCACAGTGACTTTAGAGAGGAAACATAGGCACACGGATTTATAATATAGAACATAGGAACAGAGCTGGAAGGAACTTAAGAGGCCATGGCACCCAACCTTTCCACTTTACAGATGAGGAAACTGAGGGAGACAGAGGTTCAGTGACTTGTTTAGGGTCATACAGCTAGTAGCTGCCTGAGGTGGGATTTGACCTCGCATCTTCCTGGCTTCAAGTCCTCCCCTGTATGCATCGTACCACCTAGCAGCTTATGCTGGCGGTACCACTGACTCAACATCAAGGCCAGTCACTTTACCACTTTGGGCCTCAGTTTCCTTCTCTGTAAAATCATTTGATCTTAATAGTCTCTTCCATATTTGAAGTATGGTGACTCTATATGCTATTAGGCTTATAGTTTTAGCAAGTAAACACTTGCTAAATGATTTCGACTTCAGTTCTTATAGCTGCTTTGATTGATTTTTTGCTGACCATGTTCCTAGAGTCACCTTGATTCTCTGTACCCAATCTCCTGAAATCTCAAGCTGTGCACTCCCACCGTACATAAATTCTGATCCCCATCTGGCTCAGCCTATGACTCGAATGGATGATTTGATACAGTGGATTTTGGAAAGCTTTCATTAAATTTGGAAGAAAAAGATGAAGACCTTTAGGTCTTTCAGTGGAAATTTTTCAACCCTACTTGTGACTTGAATGCAAATAACTTTCAATTATTTAGGGAAAACCTAAGATTGTTCAGTACTGCTAAGCAGAAATTCCTTGGATGACAATGGGGACATTCAACCACTTATTATAATGCCTAGATCTCACTCATGATAAACTTATGGTTGGTGATATAATCTGGATCTTCATCGCTGCTCTGTAATTCTCCTTTACTCTTATTGACTCAGTCACTCATTTCTTCTTTTCATTGCCTGAAGTATCCCTTCATCATCAAGCCCTAATGACCCTTAATTGAGAAAATTGAGGCCATCCTAAGAGAACTCTCTCAGCATTTCTCAGCATTACCATTTATCCTGTCTCAGAGGAAGAAGCGGGCCTACTCCTTGCTGTGGTTATCTGCATCCTTGATCCATCTCCTGTTTTCCTGAGGACCTTGCAACTATCTCCTCGCTTGCATTTATCTTGATTTTCTCCCTTTTCATTGCTTACTTCCTCTTCTTGGCCCAGCCTAGATCATGCTAGTTCACACAAGTATGAAATTAGAGTGCCATGAAATACTCATGGGCCATAATATTCAGTAAGAATACATTTATTTACAATAAAAGGTTTAAAAGTGTATGATTATTAACTCAAATGGATGGTTTTCTCCTGTGCCTCTACATTTGCCACAGGAGTGTTGGGTTGGAAAGACATCCCATAGGGCTGTGAGAATTCCATTAAACTACCACGTGCCAAGTCTTCATGAGGAAGCCATGCCAATGGTCCCCTGAACCAACAAAACCCCAAGGTTGGTCTCCTTGGTCCCATAAAGAAAAACCGGCCCAACCTATGTAAAAGAGATGCTGCCAGTACCTTTCCTACCACACTTCCCATCTGTCCTCAAATATGCTCAGGTCTCCCTAGACCTAAAAAAATCTGTTCCTTGACTCTTGACCATCCAGGTACCATTCCATCTCTCTCCTCCCTTTAATTGCTAACCTTCTTGAAAAAGTGGCCTACACTTGATGCCTTTTCTTCTTCACCTCTCCTCAACCCTTGTAATGGTGTTTTTTTCCCTCACCATTCAATGGAAATTACTTTTTTAAAGGTCATCAGTGACCTCCCAATAAACAAATAATAGAATTTTAGAACTGGAAAGGAAATTACAGAACTTTAAATCCATCCTCTCCCATGTTACAGTTGAGGAAAATGAGGCCCAGAAAGGGAAAATGGTCTTATTTCAGTTCTCATCCATTTGACCTCTCTAAAGCATTTGATATTGTTGACCACTTCCTCTTAATGGAAGCACATTAATGGGGCTCTTCTCCTTTGACTTCAGAAATACCATATTCCTGGTTCTCTAATTGCTGCTCTAACCATCTCTTCTCTGTGACTCTTTGGCCTATTCCCATTCCCTTTAAGATGGGTATTTCCTAAGGTTATTGAACTTTTCTCTTGTTATTCTTTGTTCTTGGCAATCTCTGGGGCTTCAATGATGACTTGTATGCCAATAATTCACAAATATACATGTATATATATATATATATATGTATATATATACATATATATATACACAATTCATACACATACATGCATGTATCTAAATGTGTATATATGTGTGTATGTGTACATATATATGTATATTAAAAGAGGGGAAGGGAGAGGGAAGGAGGGAGAGAAATCCCTAGATGGCACAGTGCTGGACATAGAATCAGGAAGACTTGAGTTAAAAATCTGACCTTAAATACTCATTAATTACATGGTCCTGGGCAAGTCACTTAATATTTATCAGTCTCAGTTTCCTGTTCTGTAAAATGAGGATAATAGTAGTACCCATCTCCTTGGGTTGTTGTGAGGATAATATTTACTTGTAAATGACTTTGCAACCTCAAAGCACTATATAAATGCTACATATTATTGTTGTTATGATTATCCTCTATGTGTCTAGTCTCCAGAGTTCTGCTCCCATATCTTCAATTGCCTATAGAATGTCTGTACCTGAATGCCTCATTGAAACCTCAAACTGAGCATGCTCCAAACCAAAGTTACTATCTTGCCCTCTCAACCTGCTTCTCCTTATTTCATCTTTCCAATTATTATCACTACTATTCACTCAGTCTTCAAAATCTTTATGGCTTTTTTTTTTTGGTGCTTCTTTTCCCTCTCATCTCAAACCAGTTACCAAGTCCTATCAACTTTACCTCTATAATATCTCTGGGATCTCTCCTTCCTCTCTTTTCCCCTTGCTCCCACCCTAATGTCCCTTACTACTGCACTCTTGTGCTATTGCAGTGATTTCCTAATGGGTCTTCCCATCCCTCTTCTCTCCCTCCTCCAAACCATCCTTTGCTCTGCTGTCAGATTAATCTTCCTTATTTAATTACCAAGGCGTGCTATTGGCCAAGTGCCTGATCCTTTTCAGTGGTATGGGCCAAGGGTTGGTGCTCCAGCCCAAACCAGAGGGTACTCAGAGGTAACGCTATGTTCTGTATGATCTTGAGAGAGCTACCTCTGTTTCCCAGCGCTGCCCTTTTTCTGGGTGGCAACACTCACCTGGTGAGTCTCACCGGGTGCTATGTGTGGATTTATGCAATTGACTCTTATGGCTTGTGGTGTCTACACCCCCTGGGAAATTCCACTAGCTTTGCTTCACTGCTGTGATTTAGAACTTTAAACACAAAAGTGTGCATGATGAAATTGATCATGTAATCATAGCTTCACTGTATATAGTTCTTTACACTTAACCATAGAAAAGCAGGAAAATAATCAATTACTACATGCACTGGGTTCCCACAGCTTGCCGGATTTCTAGCCTCTAGGCAAGTCCTTCTCCCCAAAGGGGAGGAAAACAGTCTACTCTCTGTGTTTGAATGGCTGTCGTGTATAGTGCTTCCAGGTTTGCATAGCATTTTTCATATCTTATTTGATCCACACAACTCCCCTGTGAGCTAAGTGCTGTTATTAAACTTATTTTAGAGATGAGGAAACAGAGGCTGAAGGAGGTTAAGTTACTTATCCAAGGTTACACAGCTAGTTAATATTTTGGAGGCAGGATTCAAATTCAGGTCTTTCTGAGTCCAAAGTCTGTCACCCTATTCACTGGGGTGCCTAACTGCCTCTTAACTAAAATCTGCCAGAGACATAACTTATTAGTAGACAAACATTCTGACCTAGGCAGAAATTGCATTAAACAGAATTCCTCTTGCTGATCTGAAAGGCCCTCTGACGCAAGCAATTTCTAACACGTTCTTTAGTAATAATGAAATACAAGATTAAGAAATTCCCCAAAGATGAAGAAATTCACGAGCAATGAAGAAAAAAAGAATGTAGGTTTCAGTTAGAGTCTTTGAATTATTCACCAAAATGAACAGTAATAATATTAATGTTGGTACTCATCCCATGGGGAAATTCTTTCTTCTCAGAAAACTAAGAATTTACTCTTTTAACCTGGTCAAAGGTATAGCTCACTCTGTTGATCTACTCACCAGTTCTGAATTTTGGAAGTGAAGTGGATTAAGTATATTTCCTGTTTTGATTAGGTCTTTAATTCAAGAAACACTAAGAAGCAAGAAAAAGAAAAATAAATACCAGGCCACAAAGATTGTAACAACAATT